ATTGCTGTAGTTGTAACTTAATTGGTTTGCTAATGTTTGGGATCTTTTTAATCAATTTTAAAATTAAAACTTTAATATTATATGGAGAATTTTTTACTTGAAATTGAAAATAAAGAAAATTTATGACTTTTCTATTATTTATCCAAATAATAGAAAATCAATTTCATAAAAATATAAATCAGTTTTTTATGTTTTACCAAGTGCTATGCTATGGTACAGCACTTATTTTGTAAGTGAGCTCTCAGCTATTACAATGTAAGCCCTATACCATTCTTAAAACAGTTACAACTTACTTTTTTTTTCTTTGTTTTTTAAAGAGGAAACCTCAAATTAAAAAGCTCTATATAAAACGAATAGTTATATTTTTCTAATAGTTTTAACGCAGTATTTTAAGATATAAAGCTAAACAAGTTTTTATTTCATGACAGAATTTTTTTTTCATGACTAGAGGAATTTTGTTTTATAGATTGTTTAAGATTATAGTTTATTATAAAAATGGCTGTTTTAACTTAAGGCAATATTTTTTAATTAAGAACATTTTTTTATATTATTAATGATTATTCAATTAAGTTTAAAAAATTTAAATTGTAAAATTCAAAAAATATTTTCATAGATGGGAGCACAACAAAGCAAGGAATCTAGCACTTGAAAGAAGAGCAAATGAAAGCATTCGTGGTGGTTTAAAAAATCATGTTAATGCATTTCATGCCAAAGTTTTTAACCAGTTTCAACAAGACATAAGAGAACCTGCAGATGTAGCAATAGCCCGAGAAGAACTACAAAAAAACCAAATAATCCAATATGAGTTAAGCTTACAGAAAAAGAAACTCATTGAAAAACTAGATGAACAAAAGAATGAACTTGCATTTTTGGAAGAATCGTGTCACAAAAAAATAACAAATGAAGAACACAAGGAAGTTTTAAATATGCTTTGTAAGCTGCATGAGTATGAGATAAAAAATATAGAATTGGAATCTATTAAATTAATGAGGGAATATTCGTTAGAACAAAAAGATTTAAAGAAACAGAGAGATGAAATGAGGCAAAATATGGCACATGAAATTATTGAGCTTCAAAAAAACATTATTAAAAGTAATCAATTTATAAATAATATCATTGACATAAAATTGAAATACATACAGTGAGAACAGTATATATATATATATATATATATATATATATATATATATATATATATATATATATATATATATATATATATATATATATATATATATATATACATGTATATATATATATATATATATATATATATATATATATATATATATATATATATATATATATATATATATATATATATATATATATATATATATATACATACATACAGTAAGAACAGAATTTAATCGCACTAAGTAATTTTTTAATAAAATTAACATCTTTGAATAAAATACTGTATCATGCAGTTATTATGAAAACTTTTTTTTTCTTAAATTATTCATTTGGTAAAAACCTTCAAAAAATTGTAAAATTTGTCTTTATGCTTTTGAATTACCTAGTTAAGAATTTTAAACAAAAAGAAGGGGATAAAACGTTATAGGTTGAAGCTAAAAAAATACTAGTTTATTAAAATAACTGAAAAATAGTTTCCAATTTTTGTATTTTATTAATATACTTTAATACTTAGTTGGTCCTCTTTTTGCTTTAATTATAACTAAAAAGTGTTTCAGCATTGGTTCTACTAGACATTTGATTTGATTGTTGTCAATGTTAGACCATGATTCAACAACTTTCTTTAAATCTTATTTTTTGTAAATGCTTTATTACCTATTTTTTTAAATCTATTTTATAAAGTACATAAATGCTCAAATTAGATTTAAATCTGTGCTCTGTGAAGGCCATTCTAAAATGTCATCATTCTAAAATGTTTTTGCCATTTTCATCAAAAAAGGTTTAAGTTTTTTTAGCGGTATGATTTTTTGCATTATTTTTGCAAAAAATCATACCGCTAAAACTGCAAATGTTTTAGCATTATTTTTTGTTGAAACAAAAAACTGTTTCCCAATTTAAGTGTTTGAGCAGAAGATTTTAAATTTTGTTTTAATATATTGTTATACAAATCAGCATTCATAGTTTCATCAATAAATTCTGGGTTACCAACACCATTCCATTCCACACAACTCCATAATATTACACTCCACCACCATGTTTAACTGTTCCTCTTGTGCAACTCAAATTAAATGCTTAAACCCTTATTCACCAAACTCTCTGTGCACCATCAGATTTTTTTAAATTAAACCTGGATTCATCAGACCAAAGTGCTTTTTTCCAAAATGATGTTGGCATTAAATAATACAGAATTCATTCTTCTCTTCATATGATTTTTTGTTAAAAACATTTTTTTCTGAGCTATACATCTGCTTAAGCCTGCTTTTTGAATGCGATTTCTAACCAATGTCAGTGAAATTGTGTTTCCTATTAAGTTTTTCAGATGATTTGCTATATTTTTTTTCACTTTCAAACCAATTTTTTTTAAATCATTTTTAAAATTTCTCTATTATCTCATGAGGTTGTCTTGAGCTTTCGTCTTCGTCCATTACAAAATTCAAATGTTTCATATTGCTTGTATTTATTTCTAATGGCTCCAACTGTTGTAAATGGAATAATTGTAAGTTCTTTAACTTTTTTATAAGTATTTTCTTGTTTAACCAAGTCTATAACAAGTTTTCGTTGAGTAGTATGATGAACAGATTTTTTATTGACTTTTTTCATCAAAAATGTTATTAATTGCTGAAAATAAAATTCTAGAAATGTAAATTCAATAATAAAGTTGATGTTTTATAAATTAAAAAAAAACAAAATAATAACATAACAATTAATATAATAACATAACAAATAATAAAACAGTTTTGTACAATTAATTTTTGTGCTTGCAAATTAATACCTGTGTAAGTAAAAAATTAAAAATCGTATAACAAATACATTTTCTTATATTTTTACTGATTAATTATAAATAAGAAATTGCCATAATAATTTTTTTTTTTTTTTTTTTTTAAATTGGTTCAGTTATTTTCATTGTTAATCAAGATAAAAGCAAGTTTTAGCAAAATAAAATTTAAAAATTACTTTGTATGATTAAATTCTGTTCTCACTGTGTGTGTGTGTGTGTATATATATATATATATATATATATATATATATATATATATATATATATATATATATATATATATATATATATATATATATATATATATATATATATATATGTATATACAACCCTCGGAATTAGAAAAAATGAGGTCAACGATAATTTGCTGATCTCAATCTTTTAGGGGTTGGCATCAGGTCAGCAAAAAATATTTGATACAAAGGTCTCACCAAAAACATGGAAACAAGGATGGTAATTGCCAACTGTCTACCCTAATTCCGAAGGCTGACACACTCACAAATATCTTTTTTTTATCTCAAAAATTTGTGAGAAAAAAAAATTTAATCATTGTGTTCATTTATCATCAGTAAGCATGAATAAATGTATTTTTTTTTTTTTTTTTTTACAAAAAAACATTTGTTTATTATAGGACATCAATTACAGCAGTAATAAGGCAAAAAATTAAAAAGTTAAAATTTCAACTTATTTTTAATTTCTATAGACAATTGAAGACCTTTATATAAGGCTGCAATTTGAAGTGACACTTCAAATTGTGAAATTTTAATTAACTTTAATTTTTTAAAGATGCATCTCATTAAGTATAATCTGTATGAAATTTTGGTAGTTTCTTTTAAAATTATGAACATCAAAGTGTTAAATGAATAGAAATCTTTAGTATCTCTTTTTTATTTTTTATGTTTTTTTATTTAAATGTTGATAATAAAAATTTATGTTTTAAATTTAACATATTGTTTTGCTTAATGACCTCTAATTAAAATTAATGCTTAAACACTTCTTTTTTAATTTATGCTAAGTTGATTTGTAATATGCAAAATACTTATTTTATAAAATTATGAATACTCTTTGATATTTACGTATTTATAGAGAATAACATTCAATATCCTTTGAACTTGGATGCTTTGTATGAGATTTATAAGGAAGAGATTTCCAAAGACAGAGATATGGACATTTTTATGGTGATTTTTTTTTTTTTAATCAATTTTAAACTTCTTTTTTAATAACTTTTGTCAAATTACATCAGATAACTTCAAATATTAAGTTTAGTTGCATGGTCTACTTAAATATATACCTATTTATACATATGTTCCATTTTTTTCACACAATATAACAATAGAAAAATGAGGTCTTTTTAAATTTTTAATAAAATGATTAGAAATAATTTTCTTTCCATTTTAATTTTTGTCTAATAAAAATACACCTATTTGCAACCTTTTATCTAATTTTGCATGGTTTTTGTTCTTTTATAAATATTTTTTTTTTGTTTTTTTTTTTGCTTTGTTTGAACTAGTCCTTATACAGAAGAAAAACTATAAATAATTATAACATAAATATTTATAAATTTAAATAATTTAAAACTATAAATAATTATAAACAAATAATTATAACATAAATATTTATAAATTTAAATAATTATAAACTTAAATAATCTCAAATTTTTTGAATTGACAAGATGCTAACACTTTCAATCTCTTTAATATTCAATATTTTGTATTAGTAACAGTTTATTTTTTCTTCAAATCACACAAAATTCTTTTGCCTTTTTATTGAAATTTTTTATATTTATTGTATAGAGATCAACTATTCTTAAATATTCTTCTTAAATCTTCTTAATGCTTCTAAAGAATATTTGAACTCACTAATGAGAAGATTTTTATTTTTATTTTATTTCTAGATTAAGACAATTCATGATCTCTAGAATTATATTTTATAATCACATACAAACTGATATAAAGTATAAACAACCACATTTATATATATATATATATATATATATATATATATATATATATATATATATATATAAACACACACACACACAAATATATATATATATATATATATATATATATATATATATATATATATATATATATATATATATATATATATATATATATATATATATATATATATATATATAAACACATTAATATTGCAAATAACATAAGTTTAAAATTTATCAGCTAAAATTTATATACTGTCTGCTTCAAAATTAATTTACTTTCTAGGCTTATTTACTTATAGCAAAATTCGCTATGAGTAAATTAGCTTGAACAGGATCCCAGTAACTTACCTCAAAAATATGTTTTCTCTTTGCTTGTTATGACTACATAGATATCAACTAAATCTTTTTGGCCAGAAAAATTTTAATTCTTTGCAAGAGTTACTCTCTAGAAAATTGTGTTTTGTTTCATAGTTTAGTGATGATTTAAACCAATATTTAAAGTTATTGCAGTTAGTATACTTGCACATTAGAGGATCTTTTTTGTTTCATAAAAAACATTTCATTCTAAACATTTGTTAGCAGAATTACTTCTTCTTTTTTTTTATTCCATGTAGGAAGCTATTTTAATTTTAGAAAATTTGTTACTTACAATCTGCTTATACTTAAATGATCCATGAATATTTTTGGTCTATATTTTTAGTTTAATTAAAACTAGCACTGTAACATAGTTACAAATAAATAATGTCTAATCAAGATAAAAGTTGTAAGTAGGTGAAGTAAATGTAATTAATCGTCAACATAAGGAATGTAGCTACAACTGTAAATATTCAAAAACAAAATTGCAAAAGTTTCAAATTTTAAAATTTTGAATTTGATTGTAGCTCAGTGTTTAAACCTAAAAAATTTAAATTTAAAATTTTTAAATCAAGTACAACTTTTTAATTTTTTAAAAAACTTAAAGATGCTGTGAGCAATTTTTCATTTTGTGGTCAAAAAGTAAAACCTCAGAATTAAGTACTCAATCTCAGATATTCCATATTTTTAAAAACTGGCAGATGTTTACCAGTGTTTTGGTATTTGTGTTTTAAAATTTGTGAAACAAATATTGTTGGTTTCTTGTTTGTAAAATTTGTGAAACAAATATTGTTGGTTTCTTGTTTGTAAAATTTTTGAAACAAACATTGTTGGTTTCTTGTTTGTAAAATTTGTGAAACAAACATTTTTGTTTTCTTGTTTGTAAAATTTGTGAAACAAACATTGTTGGTTTCTTGTTTGTAAAAATTGTGAAACAAACATTGTTGGTTTCTTGTTTGTAAAATTTTTGAAAAAAAATATTGCTGGTTTCTTGTTTATAAATTTTTGAAACAAACATTCTTCACTGTCTTTATATGTTATATATTTTAGATGTTTTATGTCTTTAGATATCTTTATGTCTTTAGGAGTTTTTATGTAGTTTATTTTTATTATTATTTTTATTAGTGTCTTTTTATGTCTTTGGATGTCTTTGGATGTCTTTCTGTGTCTTTAGATGTTTTTAGGTGTTGATTATGTGTTTTTAAACTAATAGTTTTCACAGAAAATTTTGCTAGTTTTAAATTTGCTGATCCAAAAAATAATAATAATAAATCAAATATTTATAAAAAACAATAAGTTTATAAATAATTATATATAAAGCAAAAACTATTAGTTAACTATATGTATAAGATGACCAATATTAAAAAAAGCCTTTTGATTTTAGTAAAAAAATAAAAACGTCACTTTTAACCAGCAGTTTCTGATAATATTAAAGACTTCGATTGTAATCCGGTCAAAAATCCGGACTTCGATTGTAATCCGGTATTAAAAATAATCAATCTAAAAAAAATCTTGATCAGTCGAAAAATAAGTTTTGGTTTATTCCTCACTTTAGTATTACTATTCTAATGTTTTTTATTCTAGTGTTATGGCATGTTAGTGTTTTCTATAAAAAATATCAAAAATTTGTTGAAACTTTAAATCCTAGCTTCCAACGTTTTAAAAAAATAGTTACAAATTATAACAATCAGTAATAAAGTTATCAAATAATGACAAATAAAATATTTTTTATAAATTTTATAAAAACGTTTGTTTAAAAGTATGTCAACGTCCGAAGTTTTTTCATGAAAGTGAAACACCAGGTTGTGAAACTATCGATTTCATACAAAAATTATTAAAGTGATATTGCGTTGCAAAGTTATTTACCTTCTATCATATTTTGTAATCATATTTTTTAGGAAGTTCAGCGGTTAGGAAGACAAAGTAACGGTATGAAGAGTTGTTTTTGTTATTTCTAAGTCAATAATAAATTTTTTTATAAAAATAAGTTATGAGTTATTAAGATAAAAATAAATAAAAAGTAAAGAAAAAATAAAACATTTTGTTCACAAGTTTTACAGTAACATTGTAATTATTTATGTTTCATTTAGAGTTCAGGCTTCCATCATTAAACCCCTCTTCTTCTAAGGCAATTATTTCAGCGCAAGAAGGATATAAAAGCAAGATGATTGAAAACAGATGGCTTGAACAGCAATCGTCAAATCTAAAGATCAAGCAAGTGAAACATACTAATTACTATATTTTTTTATTTTTTATTTAAACTTTAAACATTTTATTTTTTCAAAAATATTTAGTAACTCTGATGCATTGCGGAGGAAAGATAATCGGGTGTCTGTAACTTCCATAACATCTGATAACTCCTCTGTAACTTATCGAGTTCCAAATAAGAAACTATATTCGTTGTCTGAAGCTTCCTCGACAATCAGCAACAATGATTTAACAGCTTCGCTTACTCAAAAAAATTTGATAAATACTGTCCATGAAAATAATGCTCGACTTGGAATATATAATCAACAGTTAAGAGAAACAAATCTTGGTAAAAAGTATGAAAATGATGATTTAAAGTTTACTAAAAATGGCGCAATTGACTTTGATGGAAAAGAGGATTTTTCGATTAAATCGACAAAAGCAAATTGGAAAAACAATTTCAATAAAAAACTTGAAAGTATTATAATTTTTCTTTTTTTATTCTATTTTTTGTTTTAGTTTAAACAAACAAAAAAATTTATAATTTCTATAAATAATTTATTTTAATAATATATTCATTTAAGATATTAATTTTTTAATTTTTTTGATTTATTTTAATAATATATTCCTTTAAGATATATATATTTTTTTTTTTTTAATGATAAAAAAAGGGGAAACAGTAATGCTGGAATCAACGGAAAATGGACGCTCATATGGGCTTTCGAATAAAGAAAGGAACACAGAATTCAAATATACAAAAAATAATCAAATCAACTCACCTACTTTGATAAATAGCCGGTTTAATAAGACAGTTTACACACCATTAAAGCCAAATGTTTATCCAAGTGTAAAGGATTCCAACGGGAATTTATCTGTAAGTGGAACTTCGTTTGCTCCAAAGCCAACATTGCCAGGTTTTGGAAGAATATAGCAAATCACTGCATAATTCTAGGTAACTAGTAAACATCTATATATATATAAATATATATAATATATATATAAATAAATATATATATATATATATATATATATATATATATATATATATATATTTTATATATATATATATATATATATATATATATATATATATTTATATTTATATTTATATATGTATATATATATCTTCATATTTATATATATATATATATATATATATATATATATATATAAAATATATATATATATATATATATATATATATATATATATATATATATATATATATATATATATATATATATATATATATATATATATATATATATATATATATATATATATATATATATATATATATGTTTATATATATGCAATCATCAATTATTCGAATTTTGTAAAAGTGAAATTTTTTACTTATGTTTATATTTTTACAGAAAGTTTATACAATTTTTTATATTGTATTTATTCAAATATAGTTTTATTTTATCAAGAATAAATGTGTGCTTTTATTATATATTTATATAGACGTATAAATGAAAAAAAGAAAATCTTTTATTTACTAAACATGTAATTTATTCTGACAAAACAATGTTTTACCGCTTGTTTTTGTTAGTTCGCGCATACCGCATTTTCGTTAGTTGGCCTACCGCATTTTTTCGTTAGTTGGCGAAAATGCTTTGAACTTCCAGTTAAGCCCGTCTCAATTTTAGTTATAAGTATAATTATCAATATATCAGTTATCAAAAATATTAATTAAATTAAGACTAACATTTATTGCATATTTCAAAGTTTAATGTAATAATATTAGTCTAATTGCACATAATAACATCTTGTGCAATGTCTGTTCGCTTTGCTCTATATTATCTTTCTAACTCGACTACTTCTGACTTTTACTCTTAGTTACTTCTGTTCTTCCTTAAACTCGCTTACCCTTGATATGTTAAAGTGGGTAACGATGCTCTTAAGTGAACTGAACTTTTCTTTGGGTACAAGGGTATGTGACTCCTGTATGGCAATAACCCGGAGTAGGATGTGGCTCCTGCAATGTTAGTTGAATTTTAGTCCAAATGTTATATTAAAAAATTTTTAAAAATAATATCTAGTGTGGGGCACCATATGAGAAGCAATCTTAGTTGAAATTTTGAAAAGTCATTTTTTGAAACACCCTAATATATATATATATATATATATATATATATATATATATATATATATATATATATATATATATATATATATATATATATATATATATATGTAAATAAAGATTTTTAAAACTTGTAAACTTTTAATGATATTTTTGTAACAATACAATAGAGCTCTTAGATATTATTTTTGTTTTTTCTTTTACATTTTATCAGCACAATAGTAGCGTTTTTCAAATAGTGCTAGGTTTCAACAACAACAACAAAAAATTGAATTTAATCTATTTCCAAATATTACATTCTGAAAGCTATTACTTATTAAAATATCAAATCTAATAATTGACTTTTGGTCTTTAATAATAGGTAGAGAAAATATTTCTAAAAATCGATTAACTTGGACCTAGCCCTTTTTAAAAAACCACTAATTTAGTCTTTTTTTTTTTGGGTGTTGCTAAACTAATTACTTTGGGCATTTTGTTTTGGAATTTGAGAATTATTGTTAATGGATAAACAAATAATACGAAATAGACAAACAAATAACGTAAATAAAATAGCCATTTCAAAGAATGGATAAGACATTTTATTAGTGGGAGACATTATTTGTGTTATTAGAATCATCAATTGTAACATTGTGGTTGTCAATAGAAGTTACATTTTTAATGCTTTGTCTCTCGCTTTCTTCTAAAAAGAAAGTACCACAGTTTTGATAAAAATCCTCATTCAAACAACTTGATTGATCGCAAGCTATTGCTGTATTTAAAAGCGATAAACATTGACTATCGTTTGCGGATTGACTTGTAGTATGATGAACAATTTGGTAAAGTGTGTAACAGTTTGTGTTTACTCCACCACTGACAAAAATATCATGGCACAAAAGAAAAGCATGCTTTCTTTGCTTAAACAATCTGAACCTTACTGTTGGAAAGTAGCGGTATGTTATGTGAACTTTTTGATTTTCATCAGTTTTTATATAATAACCTCTGCGTCGGAAAAATGCAGTTCCCTGCTGTCTTCTACAATTTCGCGTCTGTCTTAAACCATAGTCTTTCAAACAAAATATTGACAATGGACAAATACTCAAATATTCACGTTTGTGCCATGGTTGAAGAAAGTTGTTAAAAACGATGTATTCTATTTGACCAACTTGGTTTATTCCTTGTAGAGAAAAGTTCCCTTTAGAACATTTATATTGGATGGTGCGATTTGTTGGAAAACATTCTGTTGTTCGTGGAAAAACGTTCGGTTCAGGCGATATAACTATACTTGGAATCAAATTTAGTGTATTTATAGCAATAAATACAACTCGCCAAAAGTTCGCTTCAAAAATGTCAAATACTGTAGCTGTATTTAGGTGTTGAGCGGGTTTTAATTTCCAATTGTACCATAGTCGTAAACTTAACCTTGCCGAAGCAATATCAACAAACATAAACGAGGGGTCATACCAAACTCGATGACATATTGTCTTCCAAAGTAAATTATCGTAGCTTATTAGTCTCGAATAGCGACTGCTCTGGGCAAACGAGCATATATCTTTTATCGGTAAATATTTTAATGCCTGCAAAAGAAGTTCTTTTGGCAAACAAAGAAGTTTCGAATCTTTGTTATGCAAAACAGGATTTGAAGGCCCAGCACAATATTCAAGATGAGCTAATACACCCGCTGCTTTCAGTAACGTCAATTTTTTTTTTGATGATACAGTATTGCGTCTTATTGCGGAGTTAAAACTTTTTTTCAAGTAATACGTAATTCCATCACTACCGGTGTTTAAATAATTGTGCGGCACAAAAATTCTATACTCACTAGAATTAAATAAACGTGCAAGATCTTTACGTTGTGGCATGCTTTTTGAAAGCTTTTTAACTTTTGAAAGCAAACGTCGTTTAAACTATAAATGACGTCAAATTCGTTTAAGATTAGGTATGTCATATTTCGGTTAGTTATCTAGGAGAATGCAGCGCAAAACGTATTTACCGCGCTGGTAAAATTTTTCCAACCTAATTTCTCCAACCTAATTTTAGATTTAAAAAAAGCAACAACTTATTTTTAGTTGTCTGAGATTAAAGTTTTTTAAATTCATTTGTTTATAGTTTATTTGTAAATAAAACTTAAAATATCCTTTACATTTATAATTTCCATTATCTATTAATTTGATAATTTAAAATTTTTAAAAAAATCTTGAAAATTGCAAGTATACTTATCTATCTATACCTCACAAATTTGTTGTTACAAAAGTAAAGATGTAGTTACACTGTAAAGCTGTAGTTACACTCTAAAGATGAAGTTACATAGTAAAAATTAGTTTATATACGATGGTTTTTTAGGGATGATTTTTTCCAACGCGTAATTGCTTTGAGTTACATTAGCTGAAGTAGTTTAAAAGCTTTTAAGATAAATTTTTTATTTTAAATTTTTAAAATAAATCTGAGATCAGAGGACGATTGTTTTCCTATCGCGTGACCAAATGAAGAACTTTTGAGTTTCACATTTTAATTTTTGTTTTAACTTTTTCTACATGCAAATGAAAACTCCTGGGGGTAATGAATTCTTATGATAAAACAAACACACGAACAAAATATTATCGATCTATGACAGAAAGTTTTGGAAGAACTAAGGACTTTTACAATGTCTTCTATTTTGCAATATGCAAGTTTAACGGGTTAATTAAATGTTTAAAAAGCATTGCACTTAATTAAGTTTATTTCTGATGATGCATACATGTTTTATGTTTTGCTTTAAACTCAAATCTTATAACCTATTCAATAAGTTTTCAAATATCTAATGTTATTGCTGTGTTTTTTAGAGAACCTCGTAAAAGAATGGATTGAGTTAATCAGCAAAAAATCTATATTAATCACTGATTCAATCTTATAAATTTAACGAGATCCCCCGTCCGAAAAAGTTCTCTAAATACGGATTGAAAATCTAAACTCATCTTTATTCATAAAATTCATTTGTACATTACAAGAAAGAGCATGATTTTACGCAATTTGCAATCAGAGATAAAGCTTAGACTGTTAGATAAGTTTATCAAATTTAAAACGTCTGCCATTATCCGTGATGCAACCTTTTAGGAGCATATTTTGTTAAACTTTGTGAAAATGAAATAATGAATAATCTTATAGAAAAGCTAACTGAATTTACACAAAAATGAGGCAAATTAGATCTGTCGCTAAAGAAAATTTTCTCCGATATTATGGCGAAAATATTCGTCGTTTTAACTAAATAAACTCTGCGACAAGAGTGAATAAAGTGTGAATGAATGAGTGAGTTCTTTCTAAGTGCAAATCTTACAATAAAATTCAAAAAAAAACATTTTTGATGTGAGTTTCTTTGGTTAAATACACAAGCATTTTATATTGCAAATATATTTTAATTGCCTTTATTATTTACTAACTTAGCTTATAAGAGATGTTTCTTAAGGCCGTTTTCCACAAGACGAAAAATTCGCGAAGCGAATTTTTTCGTCGATAAGTACGCGCAGACTAAACAATTTCGGCAATTATGCTGCTACTGCGTTTCGCTGCAGCGAAAACTTATGCCAATGTTTGCAAATTTGTTCGGCGCACCTATTTCAGTTCGCATTTGTGCCAGTTTTTGCAACTGCTTTACACTTATGCCAGTTCGCACATATGCAAGTTTTTGCAACGCTTCGCACTTATGCCAGTTTGCACATATGCCAATTCGCGCTTATTCGCGCCTCCCGATTAATATGATCCCGCTCCAGAAATTCTTTTATTTTATTGTTATAAAAAATTATTTAAATCTTGATCAAATTTTTCGTCTGTTTCAAAATTATTTGTATGAGAAAAATTAAAATATTTTGATTCAAAATTGTTTGAATCCATTTTAGAAGTAATATTAGCATAAAAATATTTATAA